GCCAATCCTTATCTCCATCCCTCTCCCAAAGGCCCTTCAACCAGGTTTACTCACAATAAGGCTTAACTCTTGATAAATTAGTCTATTTAAGGGTTCTAAAGTGAAAAATGCATATGCCAAATGGTGATATAGCTTTAAAATGGTATGGATCCACATTAATCTGCATTATCTCCCAACTGTAGACGCCAACACGGTGATTAATGTGCGGTTGCTGTCCTCACATTTTAATAAATTATAAAATGTCTGAATCATTTCTCCTCTCTTCCTCCTACCTGTCCTTATTTTATTATAAATGTGACAATCTATGGCAAATCTGGGTTTCACTGAATATCAGGTGTAAGTAACCAGGAAAATATAGGGCAAGGGAACATTTGCCAGGTGTCAAAGCTCACTCATGCACAAGCACAAGAATGTATTCTCTATGGTGAGGTAGTGGTGTGGGTGAGTATACACATTGTTATGGCAATTTTTTGTTTATATCACGAATCAACGGAAATGCATGTATAAAAGTACTTGAAGAGATGCATCAGTCCAACTTATTTCAGTGTATCTTTGAAGAGCAATTATGTTGATGAGGAAGGAGGTATAGAAATAGAATAGTTTTCTAGATTCCATCCCCCATAATAGATTAAGTCTTGGGTCTCAGTGTGGTAAGCCTGATGTTCAATGAACCAAAGGGTTCTGCCCACTAGGCTAGAAACCTGATTAGTCTTCTTTTCCATCATGTCTCCTGTCCTTATCATGCTGTCTCTTAACCCATATTAAATGCTCCATAAATATATCTGATGAATTAGTGAGTCAATGAACTCTATAACCACCTGAGCAGATGTCCACCCTGTAGGCTTCATGCACCTGGACTCTGATTTTGACTTCATTCTCCCACTGGCCCTGGACACCTGTCTTGAATGAACCCTCTCACTGGGGCCTTACCAAACCATTTACTCCTTAGCAGCCTCCTCCCCTGGGGGTTGAACCCTGAACATCATGTACCCCTCCTAATAAATAGATTATTTATGATTGAGATGTTCCCCATGACTTTGAATACTATTCATACACTATATCTGTACCCCTCATGCCTTTAACAAATCAAAATTTTAATTCAGTGGATGTGGGCCATACCATCTGGGTTTAGCAAAATGTATAAAACCAGATATCCACTGAAGTAACCAGTCCCATAGTGAAGACAGCATTCCCTAACCCAGTTTTACTTTTATTAATAGCCTGCTCCAGTTCATCTCAGGGCCAGACCTCTCAGAGTTATCAATAGCAAAGGGCAGGACAATGGGTAGAAATTGGAGAGATGCTCACTATAAGGAAAAACTTTCTAATGAGGTTAGCAATTACCAAAAACATTCAAATATAGACTGCATGACCATCTGTTAGGGGTTCAGCAAAAAAAATATCCAATATTTATGAAAAGCTTTATGCATACAACATCTGTGGCAAATTCTTCCTTTCCTTTCATCTCCATTCAAAATGACATGACTTCCTTTCCCCCTCAAATTTTAAAGGACTTTGCTAGACTGTGAAGGTCTTATGATCTCAGGGTAATACAAGTCAATGATTTTTTTAAATTTAAAAATGTTACCTTTTATATGATAAACATAGGTTCAGATGAACTGTATCTTAGAGAGTCAATCACATGCAGGTATGAACCTCAGCTCTAATTCATATCAACATTTGGCAGTTTATTTACTGCCCTGAAGATGAAAATTATAACTATAAAAGAGGATAAAAATTTACCTTTACACATATAGACACACACACATGTGAATATATACACACACATATATGTATGTATACATATATACACGTGAATATATACACACACATATATGTATGTATACATATGTATACATATATATATATATATATGCATGCCGTGTACATATATTTTTCACTTAGGTAATTTTTTCCATAACTTAAAATATGGCTTATTTCTTTTCAACATGTAGCTGTAGGTGGTAGTAATGGCTGCTTTATTGTAACCATATAATGTGTCTAGTCTCATTACATATTGCCTCCTTTAATTACCACAGCACTCTGTGAGGAGGAACCATACAGATTAGGAAACAAGTTTTAGAGTGTGGAAAATATTTCCCTACTAGGGCTGGTAGTAAGTGGCACAGTTGACACTGAAATTCAAGGCAGTCATGACACCAGACCTAGATTTTGAATATCAAAGTAATACACCAAACCCGTGTTACCCTGCGTGGAATCCAACCACGAATCTCTGCAAACATTTGTCTCAATCTATTGTTGGTGTAATGGGTGCTACTGTTTAGTTAACATTTCTGATTTCACTGATATTTTCTTGTCTCAAGAAATGCAATCTAGAGAGCTGAAAAGTAATTTGTTAATAATCAAAGCAACTCATATTTGGGTAACACAGATTTAAGTAGGAATTTAAAAATACATTTAAAAAACTTCTAGCCATTTTTATGGGTGAGTTGTCCAAAGTATAATCAATGATTATTATATTTCTCTCAACTGTTATATCTTCCTATGGTATTTGGACTATGACTCTGGGCATAAACTATTTCCCCTTGTGTGGTTATAGATTATGCTGCTTTGATAAGGCAGTGTTGTGAGATTGTGAAAAAAGTTTTTTTTTAATTGCCCCCCCCCTAGAAATTTTATGTCATCCTTGAGAAGTGCCCAGATATGTTCCTGAAAAGTAGAGTATAAATTCAACATTTGAGAATAAAATCAATTTTCAATACTAATTATTTAAGGGAATACTCTAGTTAATTATTTTATGAGGCAAATAATTACATGCTCATTTTTATTTGGGGCAAATTTTGATTTTCATATATCTGTTTTGCTTTCCCTATATCTGTAGTTACCTGCAAAATTGTACTAAGTCACCTCCCCAACACTGATGCCACATATAGACATTTGTGAATGAAAAGGTAAGCCAGAGAACACCATATTTGTAAGGAAAGTTTCTGAATCCCCAGCATCTCTGTTAATTGATCTTCATCTTTAACTTTGGAAGGAAATCAAGAGGCATTATTTGAGCCTCTGCTATCACGAGGGAACTGAGGATGAACTTCCATTCAATAGAAGAGCAACAAGCAGAGGCTGGAGAAAACTCTGGCTTGACAGTTTCCATCAGCAGGCTGGAGTCCTGCTTTTCTCTCAAATGACTTAATTTTGGTAAATTATCCTTGGGCCTCAATTATCCTCATTGGGAAAATGGAAGTAAAAATGTCTGCCCTTCAAGATAAACAATCCAATAAAAAAATAGGCAAAGGACTTAAATCGACACTTTTCGAAAGTGGACATACAGAAGGCTAAGAGACATATGAAAATACACTCAAAGTCACAATCATCCGAGAGATGCAAATGAAAAAAACAATGAGGTACCATCTCACACCAGTCAGAATGGCTATCATCAACAAATCGACAAACATTGGTGAGGATGTAGAGCAGGGGTCCTCAAACTACGGCCCGCGGGCCACATGCAAATACAAATATTGTATTTGTTCCCGTTTTGTTTTTTTACTTCAAAATAAGATATGTGCAGTGTGCATAGGAATTTGTTCATAGTTTTTTTTTAAACTATAGTCCGGCCCTCCAACGGTCTGAGGGACAGTGAACTGGCCCCCTGTTTAAAAAGTTTGAGGACCCCTGGTTTAAAACTATATTCAAAACAAGTGAGAGTGTGTGAAGTGTACATTAGCAGGCAGGTTCTGAAAGTATCAGGACATAATCAACCCTTCAGTTAAGCCTGGAAAATCTTACTACCCAACAGGACAGACCTAACAGCAAATGCTCCAAGATAATGCTGTGTAGTGTAGTGTGACTTAGTTACTACTGCCTTCCACTTCCAATTCTCAACAATTTACAATAGCTAAGATTTGGAAACAGCCTAAGTGCCATCCGCAAATGAGAGGGTTAAAGAACGGTGGTATACCTACACAATGGAATACTACGCTGCGGTAAAAAAGAAGGAATTCTTACCATTGCAACAGCATAGATGGAACTGGAGAGCATTATGCTAAGCAAAATAAGCCAGTCAGAGAAAGATAAATATCACATGATATCATTCATTTGTGGAATATAATGAACAACATAAACTGATGAACAAAAATAGATCCAGAGATAGAAGCATCGAACAGACCGTCAAACTTCATAGGGAAGGTGGGGGGCGGGGGGTAGCAGGTAAGAGATCAACCAAAGGACTTGTATGCATGCATATAAGCATAACCAATGGACACAAACACTAGGGGGGTAAGGGCACATGCTGGGGTAGTCAGGGAGAGGTCAATGTCGGGGGGAAAGGAGACATATGTAATACTATATGTAATACTTTAAACCAGCGGTTCTCAACCTGTGGGTCGCGACCCCTTTGGCGGTCGAACGACCCTTTCACAGGGGTCGCCTAAGACCATCCTGCATATCAGATATTTACATTACTATTCATAACAGTAGCAACATTGCAGTTATGAAGTAGCAATGAAAATAATTTTATGGTTGAGTCACAACATGAGGAACTGTATTTAAAGGGCCAGAAGGTTGAGAACCACTGCTTTAAACAATAAAGAATAAAAATAAAAGTGTTTTCCCTTCGTACTCACAAAGTTTATCAAAATCACATGATATCTGATATGTGAAGGTGTTTATTTTGTAAAGCACAAAGCAAGTTTCATAATAGGTCTAATTAAGTCTATGGTACCTTAAACATTTCCTCTAGGCAAGGTGGAAGGATGAAGCCTATTCTTTGAAGCTCTGTGATCTTCTCTTGGAAGCATTGGAAGCAAAGATGAGCCATGGAAAAATGCTGTTATTATTATAATCATCATAATAGAGCTCATAATAGCACTTATAATACATACAACAAGTATTCATACTTTAGGGTCTCAGAAAAAATTAGAATATGAATTCCAGTGGAGATCTTAGGCAAGGTTTACTGCTCTTTAGGCAAGGTTTACTGCTTTTCTCTCAAATGACTTAATTTTGGTAAATTATCTCTCTCTTTTTGGTAAATTTGATAATTTTGGTAAATTATCTCTCTCTTTTTCCCCTTTCTTTTCCTCCAAGTGTTTCTAGAGTCTTGTGCCTCATGTTCTTGGCTGACATTTGACCCAAAGATATTGGTTTTGATATGGTGTTCTCTTTGTGATTTTTATTAAGCTGCCTGCCTTCAAAATATCATATGTCACAGTCTCAAAGCCTGAATAAGTAACTAGTTTATTAACTTGATGAGTGGAAAACACTGAAGAAATTCCTGTGATTGAGCTGAACTGAATGAGGTATCAATGGGAGATCTTAACTTTGATGTCACTGTATCCTAATGACATTGAATATGGTTAGAATCTTTGGAACTTTCCCCAAGAGGTGAGAAATGGAAAGGTCATGATTTTGGCTAGCAGACTGTTTTGTATAGCTTAACATTTGGGTTAAAAATTGACTACATGCCAACTTTGAAAAATATAAAGTTAAATTCCAGATCTCTGATTTCTCTTGAAATATCAGAACATGTAGTGACATTGGGTCCTCCATGGCAAAAATAGCAGCCACCGAGAAACAGCTGGTTCCTTTAGATGGGCAAGCTGTTTTCAGTGTACCAGGATTCCACCTGTTCCACCTCATTTATTTATGTCATCTGTATGGCCCTTGTAATACCTGAGTTTGTGACCCTTGTTAAATCCACAGAAATATCCTAATTAAATCCTATCTCATAACCAGTTAGTCATGGGTGAAATCATGAACATATGGTTTAAGGTGAACATATGTTGTTGATCTGTTTCTCTAAGTTCATTAACCATTTTGCCAGCATTTTAAAGAGTCTGATCATATATCACAAACTATAACTGGAGCAGCAATGTAAAAGGGGATAATCTAGAGTTTTGTTGAACTGTTTATTTTTAGATTCCAAAATGAAAGCTGCTTCGAAGTTTGATCTGTAGTTCAAAGTAGAACTTCATCAGCTCAGTAAATGTGAGTCCTAGGCATGTTCCAAACTCCAGGCCTGACATTCCTGTGATATCAGAGTACTAGAAAGGGCATCTCTGCTCTGGGATTTTACAACACGCAGTTATGGCAGTAAAGGGCCTTCCACAAAACGTTGCCCCAAGTGATAAATTAGATATAGGGAGGAGGGGGATTAGAGACTTGATGTTGGTAGCACTTGGAAGCTTCTAGAGTTTTCCAAAGGCTTCAGAAACCCCATCCATCATTCCCCATGACTAAGGAAGGAAAGTTGATATGAGTCAACCTAAGACAAGGAAAAATGGAGCCATATTAGTAGCAAGGGGCAATTTAGCAGGAGGATTAGAAATCATATTGTTTGGGAACAAACACTCTTCTTCTTTTTTTCTTTTTAATTTATAAAGGTCCCTTTTCCTCAAGTCAGAGAGTTAATCATCCGGGGGTCTGGGATTAAGTTGTAGGCCTAAAGGAAGGGAGCCAGGGCAGCTACCTGATACTCTTCACTGAAAATTATAGGTCAGAAGCACAAAAAGATTCTGTGTGTTTCCATATGGCCTGGAACAGGTCACTGGCCCAGAAATTCCTCATCTAGAGGTTGGGGGTGAAGTGTTCCTATGTTTGTGTGAACAAGAGGGACTTGTAAGTATGAGGATGGCTATGGTGATGACTGATCAAAGAACTAGGGATCTTGGATTCCAAGATGAATAATATCTTGGCATTTCTAGAAAACATAAGACCCTCCCACATGTCTGACTTTGGGAATGACAGATTATCCTAGTCTTTACCAACCAACTGTCCCAATTATCTTCTGGGCCAGGTAGAGAACGATTAGGGCTCTAGGGAGAGGGGACAGAGCAAATGCCAAGAGAACATTTTATCTGAGGCATAAACAACCATGTCCCACACAACTAACAATTCAAACTCTCTCTTGAGATCCATGTAAGCTGTTGGCTCAATACTATACTATATATGCAAATCTTTAAAACTGTCACCAAAGAACAGGGCGATGGAGATTCCAAACCTCAGTTTAGCATTTCCCACTTGTCCTGAGTCAGAACAAATTTAGCATAACTGGGGAGAAAAGGATAGATAAAAAGAACAGCAATGGTAGTCACAGGGAATAACCAATGTGTAGCATGAGAGAAGCTACTTTTTCTTCTTGACAAACTCACAGACAAAGTACATGGTGAGATGGCACTCCGTGTCATTCCACCTGCCTGAGCTCAGCATTTCCACACAGTCCTCATGACCATAGGGGTCGCTGGGCTCCCCCTCCTTCCAGTTGCTGTAGTTCTGCAGTGGCGTGTTGTCCGTGAACACATACTGTCCCTCCCTCTCAAGGTCATTCACCCCGATGAAGACCCGGAAGAAGCCACTCTTGGCTACGTAGTCCGCGATGAGTGTGTTGGCAGCTTCATCCTTGGGCATGGCTAGCATGCCGCCCCGGATCCGGCAGTGGGTCAGGGATTCCCTGTAGCTCTTCTCTTCCTGCACGATGTAGTAGAATTTCTCCTCCGTTTCCCTAATCCCTGCTATGACTTTGCAGAGAAGAGTGTAATTATTTATCTCAAAAAGAGAAAAGGCAAGTATATAATATTTCTGGGTTTAAATACATTTCTTCAAAAGTCTACAATTATTTTGCAAGGCCCTATGATGAGCTTGGCACTGGTTTAATATTTTCTCCACCTTTCTAGTTTTCAAATGGAGAAAGAACTCGTACCAGTTGTCCTCCCTGCCATTCCTGTTTAACTTCCCACACAACTTTGAAGCAAGAGCTATTTTGACACAGACTTGTTACATGAACTGCAACCCAGCTCATCTCAGACTATTTTCCCATCCTAGTTTATGCCTTTGCCAAACTTATAGTTCCATGAGCATGCCCTTCTCTGTTCCAGTTCCATGCTTTTCATGCCTGGGAATTAGTCTCACTGCTCTTCTACCTGGGCAACTCTACTCATCCTTTCAATCTCAGTGTAAGTGTTTTATCCCAGAGGAGCCTTTCCCTGAGCACACACTGGGGAGTCTTATCCCCTGTTCCCACTTCTTAGTACTCAACACATTCTAATCTGATTGTTTGTGTGTCTCTTCTACTAAACTGCGAACATCTCGAGAACAATAATCATGCCTTTGCCATTCTGTAGTCTTGGTGCTTCCAACATTGCAAAAGAGGATAGAAGCTTATTAATCTGATATGGGAATAATTCAGAAGTTTTTCTACTTTGGGCCAATTCCAGGGCTGTGAACACGTACATCTTTTGAGATTGTTCATACTTCACTCCAGGTACATGAAGTAGACTGAGCTACTGAGTAAGCTTCAAGACAGAATTGGGGACGCAGAATCATTTTGAGCTCAGAGTGTGCTATATCTGTTTTGGGTTTCAGGGACATCAACATATACTTTTCAGGGTTCATAAATTAAAATGCACAAAGAAATCTGTGACCACTCAAATGTTAAGAACTATTGCTGTATGTTGAACCTCTGAGGTCTGGTTTATTCATGAATGTCCAAGCCACGCCAGAGACTGCATCTTGTGTGCAGGTTATAACCAGAATTATAATTAGGGTCGATAGTTAATATTGAACATTCCTTTGCCTGTAGTATTACAAGATGAGGATGAACACAAGATGGCGTCTGTGTGCTTCCAATAATGTAAACAAATATAGCTGTATTGCAATAAATGAAAGTACAACAAAATGAAACCAATTGTAACACTAACTACAATAGTTCCCACATTCATACTGTCTCAGAAGAGAACACACAACCTCACTTTAAGGGTGAAACTGCTAACTATGGACAAGGATAACAAAAATGACTAATATGAAAAGTTGCAAAATTTAAAGAAACACATGATGTCCCTATTAATTTGTGTGAAACCTGTAATCAAATCCCTGCTCCACAGTTCATTAGCTCTGTAGCTATGGGCAAGATCATCTTCCTAAGCTTCATCTTAATCATAGCACTTATATCATAATTATTAATATTCCAAGTATTTAAGGAAATAGCTATCATTTTTATTATCACTTTCTATTTTTTGAGATGATTATTCTGTTTGAGTCTTGCTGTCCCTTTTTATTCTCAAAGCATGGCTTGCCAAACTCTGACCTTTTCACTGTCCCCACTCTCCAGAAAGTAACTTTTTCTACCCATAGTCAATGCAATATGTACAAATATATGTAGTGGACTTGAAGTGTCCTGGAGTTGGAGTGGATAATTAGTATTTTGAGAGACCTTTAATCTGATGACACTATCTTAGTAGTCCTTTGCCCAACCCAAGGTATTTCCTGCTAGAAATACTGGAATTGTAATGTTGAAAAAGACTAAATCAATAAATAGCACAAAGCAAAAGAGAATACACTCACCATTCTTGACGAACTTCATAGATGTCTTGAGGCGAGCAACACTAATGTCCAGTTGCCCAACAACTTTCCGGTACCTTCCACAATCACAGACAGTACCTTTCAAAGGAAAAAACTGTGAATTCTTATTGAAACACATGCAGATGAGTTGAAAGGAGCCACCCCTCTCTTCCCAACATTTACTATCTTTTTCTAGTCTATTATGTTTCTCTGTGAGCAGCTATACTTTTGATCTTTTATTAAAAATAAGGTTTCCAAATTACATTGCCTTTAGGAATTCAGAATATATCTTTAAAAATATTGCGAATGAGTCGAAACACAGTTCGAAACCATCTTCTTAAAAAGGAGAGTAAATACGATGAGCCACTGCACACATGTTGTGGGCCATTTGGCATTTTTGTGGAACACAGGATGTGACTCTCCAATTTCAGAATAAAATCTTTGCAGCTTTCTGAAAACCGATTTCTAGCTGGTCTTCTCTTCTATTACTGCACTGTTCACTCACTCACACAACTCTCCAAGGGCAAGAGAAACCTTTCATGATGAAATCAAACATTTTTTTAAAATGATGCCACCATGAATTTAGCTCATAGGAGTTGAGATGAGCAGAGCTGTGCCTCTTTCTTTCTTTTTCTTTTTTTAAAAATATATATTTTATTGATTTTTTACAGAGAGGAAGGGAGAGGGATAGAGAGTTAGAAACATCGATCAGCTGCCTCCTGCACACTCCCCACTGGGGATGTGCCCTCAACCAAGGTACATGCCCTTGACCAGAATCGAACCTGGGACCCTTCAGTCCGCAGGCCAACGCTCTATCTACTGAGCCAAACCGGTTAGGGCTCAAACGTAAATTCTGATGACCCACTTGAAGCATAGCTTAAATGTATTGAGGACCAAATTTAAATCTCGTGAAAATATCCAATGTATTATTTCAAGAGCCAGTTGTCACATTTGTGGATTACCCTTTGCTCATTTACCTATTTTTTGTCAATTACCTACTGATACTGTGACACAGAAGGAATTGTAAGGAAAATGATGTGAAATTCAAATGATTCTATTCTTTTCTATTTGGTGGCTGCTTCATATGAACATTTCTGTATGCTTTCTTCTAAGGTGGTTGATAAAGAAATAGAAATTTATTAGACAAAGGGGAGGGGGAAACTTATAGCTTTATTTCTCCATATTCTCAGTTAAATAAGGAATTTAAAACAGTTCTTAGAATTAGTCTTTACTATACCCCTATAGACAGAAACAACTGAAGCCCCCCCAAACAAGTACTTTCTATCCCTGCATGTAGTTCTGGAAATGAAACTCTCAGTACTTGGAGAGAGTGTCCATGCTCATTGATGTCCTGTAATCACAGGGCTTTCAGATTAGGCCAATTTGCTTCTGGCAAACTGCTGGCCAGTATTTGGTTGAGATGCTGGTGGAATGTCAGGCATGCTGACCAGGCCTAGTGCTGAGGCCATTGTGGATTTTCCTCTTGGTCTAGCAGAATGAGGGCTGCTTCCTGATGCGCTGGGTTGCTTCCTCACAGCATGACGGGACGGAATGTGCCATCACCCCTTCCCCAGGGCTTGGAAAGTCACCAGCAAATAGAGAGGAAAGTTCCCTCCTTTCTTTCCTCTACCTTGGCTAAAACAGGTACTGCAAATATTTTTATTTTTGTTTTTCATAAAAAATAAATCTATTTTGGAGATACATTTGGAATAATGCCAGAAATTAAGGAGCAAGATTAGCAAGCGTACCTGCTTTGCCTTTTCCTCCAGGAATCCCAGGCAAACCCTTTTCCCCTTTGTCACCTGAATAGAAACAATAGCCGCAGAAGTAACAATTAAAATAATGAATCATTTCAGACAGACATCTTGATCAGCTAAAATCAGAGGAAACAGTTTTAAAATTCATTTGTAATATCTTCCACCAGCATGCCTTGGTTTTGTATGAATAATTTGATTTGGAGTTGGCTGCACAGGTACGACTAATCGAACAAGTCATAATTGAACTAGATTGAATGTAGAATTCCAGTGGGATGTGTAAGAAACATTAAAATTTGTGTCACCTATCCTGCAAACCTGTGTTTATAATGTGCCCTTCTGAGCAAGGCTAATACAATTCTCTGCATGTTTTTAATTTGAAAAGTACCATTGTTTTGTATATCTGGATCAAATGATTAACACATTGCAGCATCGGTTTATCATGCACCAAAATTCTTCCATATGGCTTTGCCCTTGAATTTTCAAAAACATGTATTGTGCTTTTTCAACTTATTTACTTTTTCAAATATTTACTATTTACTTACTCTGTGCAAGACAGAAGGCTTGGTACTTTGAGAGGATATAAAGAGACAAAATTAAACTTCTGACTTGAAAGAGTTTACACACTTTTAGAAGAGATGTGATGTATGCAAAATCTATAAATAAAATAGTGTCAAATATATTGTACTGAAATATCAACCTTGATAATTTTCCCTCTGCTTTTCTTTGTATGCCATCATTTTCTTATTCAGTCAGAGGTATCCACTCAGAGAATCAGGATTATTAAAGCAGAGAGAAAAAAATGTTGATTTTTTTTTTAACTTCAAAATAAGCTCTTATGGCCACATCAGACACAACCATTGAAAGCAAAAGCCTTTGATTTTCAAGAGGAAATGTTTAGCTTAAGCTCTTGAGAATGAAAAGAGAAGCCATGATAGAAGTAAAATAGAGTTAATGCTTCAAAGGTGGTCTGGAAACAGAAGAAGAAAGGCCCCAGGAGGGATAAATACAGGGTACAGGTCATCCAGACTAGAAAGGAGTATGTGGCTTAGCCTTGAGGGGGTTTGGTATAGCCAGGGAATTGGGAATATGACCCGAGGGGGCAATGTGAGGGGGAACAAAGTTGGCCTTGAGATTTTGCCTACCCCATCCTTTCCCACCAAAAGGGGAGAGCCTTTCCAAAACCCATAGGGTGTCCCATGTTGCCTGTCCATTAGCTAATCTTGTCATCACTATCTGCTTAGTGCTTTAAATTTTTAAAAATATTATATACTATTTAACGTATATATAAAAATATTGTCGTTTCAATAAGTAATCAATATAAAAATATTAATGGGATATTTTACTTTTTTGGTATTAAGGCTTCATAATTTGATATATATTTTGCACTTGCAGCACATGTCAGTTTGGACTAACCATATTTCAAGTGCTCAATCACATGTTGCTAGTAACCATGGCATTGGACATTCTTACTGAGTGCTCTTTATTAATAGTCCTGTACACATTGACTGTTGATCATCCAGAAAGGAACACCTGCTGGCCCCCAAGGATTTGCTGAGTTTTTCTAAATCAACATACATGGACACTTTTCTTTACAGTGTTGCCAGTCATGTATGAGCTCGCCACACAAAAGGAGGGGGTCTCTGAAATCCAGAATGCAGTTTAAGTATGTGGGAGGACACCTCAGAACTTGTGCTTAGAATAAATGAGATATGGTGAAATCTATGACAATGGAGTGCTGATAATACTGCAAGAAAGACCTTGAACAGAGATCACATACTTTGGAAGGGAGCCAGAAGAGGTAGTACTCCAGATGGGAGGATGAAGGAGGCTCTCTTGAGGAGATGGTACTGGAGCTTGGTTCTGAAAACTTCAGCAAGTGGAGATGGGAGCAAGGTAGGAAGTAACATACAGCAGAGGTACAGTAAGGGAAAAAGCATGGGACTATGCCATTGATCTACTCACACCTAAGTTGTGTCCTGCAAATTCCTCATTCTTTATATGTAAATTGGAAAAGATAAGAATAGATTTTGAATGCATTAAAGAAAGGAAATATAGCTTTGCTAAGTGCTGATCATTTGTCAAGTACTGTTTTGGATACTGTATAGATGTTATCATATTAAATCCAATGAACTAGGTGCTATCATTACCTGTATTCTACCACTGCAGAAATTGAGGATCCAGGAGGCACAATTAGTTGCTCAGGGACATCCAGCAATTCAATGGCACCCCTGGTACTGAAGCCCAACCATTTCTGACTCCCCAGTTCATGGGGCTTCCCAAAAGAGCTAGCCAATGATTTAATGAAAGAAATCAAAGCACTCAAAAATGTTATCAAAAGTTGAAAGAGGTACCAGTCCTTAGCACCACCATAAACAATATGGGCTTGAAGATCATATGAATATGGTTTAATACTTTAATTATTTTAAGATAGTGTATTTTCTTTACATGTAAATCCCTTTCAATTTAACATGGGCTGAAAATAGATCCTACTTCTGGGGTAAGCCCAATGATGGACATAAAAGAAGCATAAACAGAATATTTGCTTTGGAAAAAAATATTTTTAAGGACAACATAGCTCATATTAGGGACCAAGGAGATGGGACATTATCACCATCATGTATTAACAGAGTGAAATAAAGAAAATGTCTGATAGGTATTTGGAGAAACCAAAGATGGTTGTGGATCAGAGTAGAGAAAGTTTCACTGAAGCAATAGCTTTTAATTAAATCTAATAGTGTGGGAAACAAATTACTGAATTGATAATTTGATTTTTTTTCCATGAGAAGATGTAAGCACCATGATGACTTTCCAGTATTTTGACATAAATTATTTTCCTTTTTTACAGATGGAAAAGGCAAAGCAGTGTGGTAGAGTGAAAGACTATAAAAGTCTGAACAACCAAGACTTGAATCTTGGCTCTGTCACTTACTAGCTAGATGTGGACAGGTTACTGCATTTTTAAAGCTTCCATTTCTGATTTTTAAAGTGGAAATAATGGTACCTAATATCTAAGATTGTTAAAGAGGATATATTAGGTAATGTTATTTTATCATAGGATTATGTCTGTGCTGGGCTCATAGAAGATGCGCAACCAATGTTAGCTTCTGTCTCCTAAATCAGAATTGTGGTAAAAGTGAGTATACCAAGTACTTAGCCAGGCGATGGAGGATGTGGACTTACAATGTCTATTTTGCCCAAGCAAATTCTGGTTTAAAGCCATACACAAAGACTTATTTTGGTCCATGAGTGGAAACATGTTTGTAATAACTGCCTTAAAATTGAAGAATTTGAGGTTGCATTTAAACAAATAAAAATCATAATGCTTTCACTGTAAAAGGATATTGACCTTAAGTAAAAGCATTTGTTTGTCATGAGATTTAATTTACCTATATTAAATTATTTTTTCTTATTCATGAAATAAAATATTGACATCCAGAAAGCTACCTGTCCAAGGAAGTGACATTAAGACCAGTCCAGAAAGTTGAGATTAATCTGAGTCAGTGAAAAATTTAGAAGGGCTATTGACAAAATGAGGGCAATAAATTTCAAAGTCCGATTAAAAATGAAATTAATCCAGGTGAGCCAGAACAGTGAACCTCCATTTTTAAAAAATTTCAGGACATGCTCATAAATTTTGATGGCATATCTCTGGAGGAGAAAGAAATCTTAGTCAATGTTGAAAATTGATGTTAAGGGAAAGTGGTACTTAAAGAAATAAAGGATAGAAAAGAGGGCTACATGATTAGAAATAATATATTTGCCACTCATTTTTTTCATTCTTAATGCAGCAAACATTTAGAAAGTTTCTACTATAAAATAGGCATTAGGGTAAAATGATTAAAAATAGGGTACTCACATATAGTTTATATTTATTTAAGCAAATTGACCCAATAAATCTTTCATTCATTTGTTGGCTCTAGAAGTTCATGGTCTGTAGGGCAAAACAGACAAGCTAATAAGCCATGACAATGAGTAAAGTGAGAGAGGAATGCAGGTGTGAGGTGTTGTTTATGCACCTGAGTGTGAATGCTGAATTGTCCTGAAGAAGATAAGGTCAGCTTAACTCTATCCTTTCCAGAGTTATTTTTCCAACATTTGACACCCAGAAAATCATACTAAACTCTTGACCCTCCCTAGTCTCTGTCATCTACCACCCTCCCAAGTTACCTAGTCTTAGTCTATGAAAGGATTAAGACTTGGCTCAAGGTCATGAACTCCATCTCTCTTAGTTGACACATTTAAAACTAAGATCATGCAAAATCTTGAATAACTCATTCAAAAATGAAGTTCTTGAATTCTGGGGGTGCTCATGGCAGTGATGTACACTCCCCCTCCACTTCTGCCCATTCCAGGACAGTACTGGGGCTCTTGCCCTCATCTAACAAGGCCGCATCTCAGAAATCTCCATGTCCAGCATCCCACTTTTTGGCTACACCTTTCCATTCCTTCAACTAGTTGTTGAATGAAGCTGGATACAGTCAGGAAAAGATCTATAATGAATTTTATCTGAAGCTTATACAATTTAAGGAGCCCTCATTAAGAAAAATAATACCAGTGCCCTGGCCAGGTAGCTCAGTTGGTTAGAACGTTATCTCAATATGCCAAGGTTGCGAGTTTGATCTCTAGTCAGGGCACATACAAGAATCAACCAATGAATGCATGAAGAAGGGAAACAACAAACTCTCTCTTTCAAATCAATAAATAAAAATTTAAAAAAATAATACCAAATTACAAATTTAAGAAAAATAATACCAATGCCCTGGCCAGGTAGCTCAGTTGGTTAGAACGTCATCTCAATATGCCAAGGTTGCGAGTTTGATCTCCAGTCAGGGCACATACAAGAATCAACCAATGAATGCATGAAGAAGGGAAACAACAAACTCTCTCTTTCAAATCAATAAATAAAAATTAAAAAAAATAATACCAAATTACAAACAGAAAAGTGGTTATAAAAATAAATGCTTATACAAAAGAAATAAAAACAAATCACTAAATTTTAAAATTAGACAAATACCACATTATCAGCACTCTAGGATTATAAGATTTTAATTAATAAATGAATTCTGTGCCTCTATAATTCTTCTTTTTCATACATTATGGGCTACATATGTTTGGCTGCATTCATGAATATCCAATTGACCTAGCACTATTTATTGAGAGGCTCATCATTTTTCACTGCAAAGTAATGTCAACTTTGCATAAATCAAGTGTGGGAGTCTGTTTCTGCATGCTCTAATCCTTTCCATTGATCTATTTGTCTCTGTACTGAATCAATACTATATTCATAGTTGTAACTTTATAATAAATGTTTAAATTCAGTGATTTAAGTCATCCAGCTTTGTTTTTCTTTTTCAAGATTTTCTTTAGGTATTCTTGGTCCTTTTCATGTCAACTTTGCATAAATCAAGTGTGGGAGTCTGTTTCTGCATGCTCTAATCCTTTCCATTGATCTATTTGTCTCTGTACTGAATCAATACTATATTCATAGTTGTAACTTTATAATAAATGTTTAAATTCAGTGATTTAAGTCATCCAGCTTTGTTTTTCTTTTTCAAGATTTTCTTTAGGTATTCTTGGTCCTTTCCACATACATTTTATTTTATTTTTTAATTATTTTTAAAATATTTTTTTACTCATTTCAGTGAGAGGAAGGGAGAGGGAGAGAGAGAGAGAAACATCAGATGCGAGAGAATCATTGTTCGACAGCCATCTGCATGCCAACTGGGGATGAAGCCCGCAACCCTGGCATGTGTCCTGACTGGGAATCAAACCTTGCCTCCTGGTTCATGGGTTGATGCTCAACCACTGAGCCATACTGACCAGGTTTCACAAAAATTTTACATTGGCTTATTAAATTTGAGAACTACTCCACTGAGCCATACTGACCAGGTTTCACAAAAATTTTACATTGGCTTATTAAATTTCAAGAGAACTACTTCTGAAATGCTAATTGAGAGAGCAATGAATCTATAGATCATTTAGGGAGAAGTGACATCTTAACAATATTGAGTCTTCCACTCTGTGAATGCAGCTTTACTTCAATTTCCTTAGATATTCTTTAATTTCTCTCATTATCATTACACTAGAGGCCCGATTCACAAAATTTGTGCAAGAGTAGACCTTCCTTCCCCTGGCTGCTGGCACCGGCTTCCCTCCGGCACCCAGGAGCCAGGTTTCCTTCTGGCCACCGGCAGGCACTGGTTCCCTCGCAGCCCCAGCTTTGTACAGAAGGTCATCCGGTCTAATTAGCATATTAAGCTGTTATTTTTATAGATAACATTTGTTGTGGAGGGCTTACACATCTTTTAACATTTATTCCTAGATATTTGGTAACTTTGATGTTATGATAAATGGCACCTTTTTAATTTTATTTAAAAATTGTTTTTGGTATGTAAAAATAAAAATTTTTTGTATGTTAAGCTATCTAAAAACAATAATATAAGCAGCTAATCTGTGGATTCTTTTGTATTTGCTGGGCATGCAATCATGTCATCTGCAAATAATTATCCTTTTATTCCTTCATTTCCAGTTGTTATGATTCTTATCTCTTGTTTTTGCATTTTTAGTCTGGCTAGAACTTCTATAATGTTGATTAGAATTAGTGATGAGGGCTGTACTCATCATTCCCAATTTCAGGAGAGAAGTGTTGAATATTTCATTATTGAGTATAATTTTTAAATAGTCTTTTATTGTTGTTGATGTTGACATTCCTTTAACTATTAAGTGTGTTTCCCTCTATTCCTAGTTGGATAAGATTTTTTAAACATGATGAGTATATGCTTAATGAAATGTTTTTTTCCCCCCAGAATTTTCTGGAGTTATAACTGGAAATTTTTATTTTTGAAATAAAAAGGAGTAGCATTTTCCAAGGCCAGCCTTCTTGGGCAGCCCATTGCAAAGTTTGAGCAACTTCCTGCTCTAGGCCCTCAGTCTCATAGTGCATCCTTATTAATGAACTGGTGATGATTTGAGAGGAAAAGCAGCAGGTATAGAATGTGTGGTTTATCTTGCAGTGGTTCCCTTCTCCTCCAGATTATGAACCCTAAAGTCCTATTCAATGGCTTTAAATATCTTTTGGCCATTTTTTTTATTAAGCTAGTCATTCTTTTTTAAAAAAGAATTATTCATAAATGTTTATTGAGCACCTACCATGTGCCAGGTGAGGTGGTGGGAGAGATGAGGGCAGGAAGGTGACAAGGGTAGATTTTGTGCAGAACTGTTTTGATCATGGTGAGGACTTTACTCCAAAGGAATCCCCCCACCCCCGAACACCTATACTTTTTGTTTCCCATAACAATAATAGCATCATTTTGGGTAACTGCATTAATTTTTCTATTAAGAATGACTAGCATCAGGATTAACATAGGCAATTCTCTCATGGCCTGCAGCATAAATCTGAATGTTGTTGCTATCATTAAAAACCGAATTTAAAACTACTTCTACAAAGTATTCTTCATATATATGAGCTGTTAGATTTGGAAAATTTTTCTACAGACTGGCCCTATTCATTGCAAAAATTGTTTCTTTTCCACAATCCACGTATTTCTTGCATTGGATGGCCTAGGACACATTCATATGATGATCTAAATCTCTGCCCTCACACTTTTTGCATCATGACTTTGGATAGATCTGGACAGTAAATGGTAGGCATATTCTTGGGGACTCTTCCTTCAGAGAATTGTTAGCTGCACATGGAAGAAACTGCACACTACATAAAGAAGTTCAAACTAAATATTTCTCTCAAGTTCTTCTTAGCTAGCTTCCCAAATACGTGGCATCCTCTCCAAAAACCACCTAATGCAATGAGGAATATGATGAAGAGACGTTGAAGCAAAAGGAGACGGTAATCTTAACCTGCACATTCTCAATGGGGACAACATCACCTCAAGGACGCAGCAGTCAGTTCTTGAGAGGAGATGAACCCTCAGTCTACACATGGCCATAGCAAAAAATAAAAAAAGATGCTCATACACACACAAAGGAAAGGGAAGGAAGGAAGGAAGGAAGGAAGGAAGGAAGGAAGGAAGCGAGGGAGGGGGGGGGGGGGGGGGTGAGGGGAGTGGAGGGGAATTAAGAAAAAGCTTTTAAAGGGGGCAATATGTCTAAAAAATTTGTTGGGAGGGGGGCACTAGTTTTTAAACATGTTGAGATGCAGTATTTTAACCAGTTGAGGTTAAAATGTTTTATTTTTCAACTTTACCAAGACATGTGCACCTATTGCTAAGGATCCTCTCAGGGCCTTGGGAAGGGCCCAAACATGTGTGGGCTCTGAAGCCACAGCTTTATTAGCTTCATGGTAAACCCATGGCAGGCACATTCTGCAGCAGGACTCGTGAATTCTGAACAGTCCATGTAGCTCTTTCTCAGCTATGAGGATTTCACCCTCAGGTGAATATACTGGATCAAAAATAACCATAGCGATTTCTTTTCAGTGGCGCCGCCCTCTATCCCTGCCCTCAAATGCAGACCGAAGGAAATTTCTCAAAGAAATGAGTTGGAAGAGGGTAGGGAAAGAAGTACTGCACTGCAGGATGCCAGGGGAGAGGCCACAGCGTTAGCTCAGACCTCATCCATCAGCCTGCTCACAGGAGCACACAGCTGGCCGCTGTGAGACACATGTTGAATTACGCAGCTGCTCGAGCATGTGTGGAAGGCTGGAGGGTAACACACGGCTGTGGAATTCTATTACCCAAGGCACCGAGTTTCCCCTGACCTGTACCTTTGCACAACTATTTCTTGTATCCCCCTCAAATGCCTTTTTTCCATTTCCATAAACATCTTACTGTCCTTCAAGACCCAGGTCAATTCTTCATGTCAATCTTGTCTACTCTCCCAGATGGTTCTTATAGTAGTCATAGAGTTATTATTATAATTCTTTCTGAAGAAGTCCAGTGTTCCTAAATCATCTGAGCTTCTTGCAATAAGATTTTGATTCTCCTTTAGTTTGTATCTTCAAACAAAGTGGAACAATGCTTGTATGAATTACTAAAGATCAGAAGCAATTACAACCTGCTATGTATGTGGGGCTTTATGAGAAGATAGGAAAAGAGTCCGTAGGTAATAAAGAGGAGGTTACCTCTATTTTTGTAATAGAGGTATTTGTAGTATTGAAGCAGTAATTATGTACAGAATCAGGAAAAGACTGAAAACAAAAGATGTTCAAGTTTCTGTCCTATTAATAGATCACTGACACAGAATTACTATTAGTCCACTCAAGAAATAAAATTATACTGTCCTCTGCTACCTTGAGTTATATTAATAATTGTTTTCTATTACTGAACAGCCAAGATATTAAGAAATAGAATACTTATATTTATAAAAGAGAGAGAGAGATAATTTTTATGCCAAAGAACCTTTCAGATATATCAAAGGTATGCTCAATGTGCTTGAAATTGCTGTTGGAGAATGGAAAGATGTGGCTTACCCTTCTTGCCAATGGGCCCAGTCTTGCCAATGTTGCCTTGGTCTCCCATATCACCCAGTTCTCCCTTAATTCCTGAAAAGCAAAGCAGGTCATCTTTATATCCTAACATTTTATCTTCTCTTTAAAGATGTGGCTAATATATGATATCAACTTGAAGGAAATACCAAAGAGTGCATTCTCCTATCTGTGGTATATTTGTATTAACTATTTTTTTAAAAATATATATATTTTATTGATTTTTTACAGAGAGGAAGAGAAGGAGATAGAGAGTTAGAAACATGGATGAGAGAGAAACATCCATCAGCCGCCTCCTACACAACCACTACTGGGGATGTGCCGGCAACCAAGGTACATGCCCTTGACTGGAATTGAACCTGGGACCTTTCAGTCCGCAGGCCGACGCTCTATCCACTGAGCCAAACCGGTTACGGCTGCATTAACTATTTTAATAGCATTATAATGTATATATTAAAATTAAAATGTGGGTATGACAATCCTGAACCTGATGATATTAAAATGCTTACTCATGCAATCTTTCTGAAAGGACTACAGCAGAAGATGTTTAATCTAAAGGCCAGATAAGCGGCTGAGTGAAGAATTCTTGCATTTTATTCTAATTCTGTGCCTCACTAGATCAATTTCAGCTTCACTTTGGGGTTCTATCTCTTCTCTGTTTTACAACTGGATTTGACTATCTTAGGGAATGTACAACAAATGTATAGAATATTATACATATTTATAGTATAAAAGCATTTTAAATCAGAATATCTCAAGTTGAGGTCTCAAAGGCCTGGGAGTGTTTTCCTCTCTTTAAATGATGAAGATTTAAAGAGCAGTGATCTTGGGCCACCATTTTGTACAGTTGGCAGGGAATATTTCCAGTGCTTGAAGACACATGTCACAATCCAGAAGCCATGTTTGAGTGAGACTTACTTTTGGCTTTGTGAGTAAAAACATTCTCTAATAGCTTTTGTATTATTCTCATCTTCTTTGCTCCTACTCTCTCCATAGTCCACCAGATGTTTGAGAAAGGTGAGAACATCAAAGAATCAAACAATTTTCTTCTCCTTCTTATCTTCCTCCTTAATTTCTAGGTTAGCCCAAAAAAAGTTGCTTAGCAGTGGCTTCTAAGGGGAATACAGCTTTGAACACAGCTGTGTTTCCAAAATTCATAGTTTCTTAGATATTCTCAGAGATTGCTATTCCCTGGGGCTCCCAGAGTGTCCCACTGTAGGCACCCCTAAAGATGAAATTTGAGAAATGGGGCTGAGTCTTGTTGACAGGCAACTCATAAGAACTCTCTGGTGGCAAGTAACTTTACATCTGAAATACATTTCATGTATCTTTAGAGCAAAGGGCATTATGAAAGCTGCTAATTCCTAGAGCAAGTCCAGGAGAGAGAAGAGCAATTCTAACATTACAGATCAAGTTCATACCATTTTACTTACCTTTTGGCCCCATGCGTCCCACTTTGCCAAGCTTTCCCTCCTCTCCTGGATCTCCTTTTTCACCATCGTCTCCTTGTGAAATGGAAAACGAACCAGTGAAGCAGCTCAAGAAGCAACATTAGCACATACTCCCAGGGTAAGGTGAACATGGTTGGAATTTATCCTTCCACTCAGAGCTTGCCTATAACCTCCATGTGAGATGATAGAGAGAGATAGAGATAGAGATAGAGATAGAGATAGAGATAGAGATAGAGATAGAGATAGAGATAGAGATAGACTGGACACCCAGGAAGAGAAGAAACTCCTAGTACCATTTCTCTTTCATTTTTCTCCATGTCCAAGTCTATGTTTAAAGAAATATACTACTGGTGAATCCTGGAGAAGCTTGTTTGGCCTGACAAATCTATATTCTTTCTGGAGATTCTGGCAAACTCTGGAAACATTTGCATGTATATACATTAAATATATGCAGTAGATAGATTATATCTCTCCCTATATAAACATATATATGTTGATATGTTATATGTATAATTATGTTTTGTATAACATGTATAATAGAAATATATTATATAATATAAATATTTGTAAAATAATGTGAATTGTTATTTTAAAATTATAGAAATATATTATATACACATCAATTTATTACCCTCCGACTGCATGCTTGGGAACCCATAGGCATGGACCAGGAAGCTATGGACAGAAGACTAGCTAAGACTGGGACAGCCGCAGAGCAGTCTGTGTGAGCAGAGACTAACTGATCACAGGTGGGCCCAGCTCCTGTACCTCACCCAGTCAAGAAGGACTGAATGAGTGTTTTAATGAAAGGTGCCCTGGTCTGTGAATCAGGAGTTCTGGATTTTAATGTCATGGCAGTCACCGATGGGTTGAGCAGATCTTTAAAAGTTTATGATTGAGCTTATTGGCTTTGGAGTATGACAGATCTGGACTTGAAATTTGGCTTTACCATTTACTGTCTGGAGAAAGTTGGGTGCCTGACTTCCTTTTCTGGGTCTCATTTTCCACTCCGGCAAAATGAACTGCTAACACTTATTAGAGAAGGCTCTTAAGAAATTTAAATAAGATAACATGCATAAAAGACTTGGTACCTAATCAGTGCTTAGCAGTGGTGGCTATTTTATTTTCTCCTTTATACTTAAGTTTCCTCATCCTTAACATGGGGATAATACCTGCCTTCCTTACCTTTCAGTTGTTTTAGGATCAACAAGCGAGACATGTGAACATGCTTTGAAAACAAAGAGCACAACACACACAATATTATGACCAGCTATCTGCATTATCATCACACCAATCTCAGGACATGAGGAGTCCTGTCCATCACCAGTGGAAGGAAGTGAATTAAAGGCCAGAAAGAGAGAAAGAAAGAGGGAGAAAGAGAGGAGAGGTTGAGATGTTCATTTATTTATTCAGAAAAAGCATGGCCAGCCATCCTCTTTTTTATTTTCCCTAGAGAAGAAAGTTACTATTATAGATGCAAGCACAAGCAATGCACGGAAGAGCTGGATTTCCAGGTAGAACCATTGGTCAAGTGTTAGAACATTTCACACATGAAGCTCTTGAATCTCCTGGGAAAGGCTTTCAAAACAGAATGGACAGATGATTTGTGCGATCAGAACAGAGGGGTGAAGTGGATGGACTAAGAGGCATCTCTCTACAGTTCATAGTGAAAGTTTATTGAGCAATTACAATGTGTGCCAAGCACTGTGCTAATGTAATCATCATGGAAATTCCAGAAGGTGAGGATTATTATTTCTCCATTTCATGAGTGGAAAAACTGAGGCCCAGCGAGGTTAAGTTGTTTGCCTATTGCCACAGAGCTTGCGAGTGGTAGAACTATGACTCAACAGCAAGTATATCTCTGCCCCTCCAGATCCCTACAGGTAAACAATTGTCCCTCCCATTCTAGGCTTTTGTGACTGCTAGCATATTGTGGATTTTAGAGAACGTCTCTGTGCTGAATTTTTCTGAGAAAAAAGGGGAGAGGCAAAAAGAGTGATCGTTCCCTTTTAAACAAGAAAGTTAGTGCAGAAGAAAACACACACAGCTTATCGTCTCAATGACAGTACAGAGGGAACATACCCTTGAGGTAGTTTAGTCTAACTGAGACCTGACTTCACCACTCACCAATGAGGGAACTTGGGAAGTCCTCACCCTTTTTGAGGCTTGTTTCACTCATTTGTCGACTGGATGAAAATAATACTTTTTTTCCAGAGGGTTTTTTAAAGGTCAAGTCAGAAATGTATGTTTCTCTAGGAAGCCCTTTCTAACACTTTCAGGCCAGGCTGAATTCTCTAATTATCTTCACTGTTTAAAATATCACTTTATGCTGAGGGCGTCCGTCTACCTGCGCTAGCTCTATGTCCTGTGGAATGGCTGGGTCCATGAATGATTTATTCTAGCACCACCAGAATTTAGCACAGTGTTTGGCTCTGGTGCTTAATAAATACAGTTGAACTGAATATATTTTGTGAGCCATCAAATGTTTTATAAATGTAATGATAGCATTTACTGAATACCATATGCCAGAAGGTTCCTAGTATTTGACATGCATCCTGTCATTTGATCTCCAGAACAACCTTTCCAATGGATACTATTCTTAGCTCCATTTCACAGATGACAAAATGGGGTCAAAAAGAGGTTAAGTAATTTCCCAGAGTCACATAACTCCTAAGTAATAAAGCCAGGATTTGAACTGGAGCATTTGCTATCAAAGTCCATGTTTTGAACAAACTGTATGATTGGGAACAAATTCCTGTCTTAACATCTCTGGGTTTGGGATTGCTATTCTGTACAATGGACCGAAGATGCTCACCCAAAAGCAAGATCCAAGGCAGGCATGTATATGAAGCACTTTGTGAACCGTAAAACCACAGGAACGTGAATTATTGGTGCCATTATTATATCTGATCCGTCTCCCCCTTTCCTATGAGCTCTCCTATTCATTTTCAAGCAAGTACCTAACTGGAGGCAATTACATGAGTGACTTAGTCATCTGCTCCCTGATGGCTCCTGATGGGAGGAGACCTGGGAGGGTGAGTATCGGATTACTATTCTTCTGACCAGCCTAGTGGTGAGCGGGCTGCTGGCAGAGATGAAGCAAGCACACTACATGTGCCCTTGCCTTCAGCATGGGTCCGCAGTTCATTTGATCTCTGGGACTTGCTTTAATGAAAACAGAGGAGAGGTATAAGAACAAGCTTTGGAAAGGATCCCCCACATGGCTCACAGCCGTCTGCTTTTATCCTCTTGGCAATATTTCATTGGATTAGCAGAGCAATTTAGACTTCCTTTCCTTCTTTTAAAAATAGCCACTTCCATTTTAAATGTAAGTAAAAAGCTATAAGCTAAAATGAACTAATTTCAATTTTACAGAAACAGTCTGTTTTGGCACCTCCAGGCCACCAGCGTGCTGTGACAATCTCTCCAGCAGAGCACACAGTTGACCAATTTTTCTTAGGTCGGCTATTCCCCCCCCCCCCGCCAACAAGCAAAATGTTAAAATTAAATTCTAGTTTGAAATGAAATAGCTGAACCGAGGTCAGTACCCCCTGCTCAAAGGAAGTAATTATTAAAAATTAGTGAATTGGTTTTAGAAATTCTAAAGAAAATTCACTGGAAGCTGTTCTTTGCCCACCGTCAAAATAATCTTATGAACTGGGGAGAAGTTGTTAGCAATCCTTCCCCTGATCAGCCCTAGAACTGAATGAGGTAGAGTGTATGGTGTCCTTTGTTAGTGAGGCCAGACTCCTGCTCAAAAGATATCCTTCCCATCTCTACTCATTTTCCATATATGCCAATTGCTTCCTTATTGTTGGGAATTTCAATAGTCATCGATTATTGCATGGCCCTCTACTGTATACCAGATACAATAGTATGGTCTTAAAGTGGACCACCTCCCAGTACTTTTCCTTCCTCAATTACAGCCTCATCATTTCACTGAAATATTCAGAGTTCCCTGGGACCTGCTATTGTTGTCTTGTCTCCATTCAGCAAGTTTATCAGCCCCTCTGTGCCTTTACCTGCTTCCCCATACGTCCTGGATTCTTTCAACTCATCACTGCCTCCCAGCGCTCCCTATGGCAGGACTGTACTGAATTGGTGAAGACAGGTCTGGAACAGGTCGTTTCATTTCTCTGAGTCTCAGTTTTATTCAGAAAGTTGAGAAAATGATCCTACCTCATAGGACTGGTGTGGACTGAAGGAGACAATGCATGATGAGTGTTTAGCACAGGGCCTGGCACTTGCTAAACTCACCCATTCTTGTTTCAATAGGCTTATTATTGTCATCATCATCATCACCAGAAATGATACATCTTTTTTTAAAAATCATTTTATTGCTTAAAGTATTACAAAGAGTATTATATATGTCTCCTTTTTTTTTCTCCCCTTGACCTTCCCCTAGCCTCCCATACCCCCCAGTGTCTTGTGTCCATTGGTTATGCTTATATGCATGCATACAAGTCCTTTGGAATGACATCTCTTTTAAACTTCTCTTTGTATTCAGTATCTCAATCTTTATTCTATATTCATTACTTACTTTTTCACTTGACTTTTAAAAATATTTACTATAATATTTAATATAAATATTTTACATCATGATACACAGAAATAAATACACACCCATTACTGAGATTTAACAATTAACATGTTGTCCTTGCTTTACATATTTATTTTTTACCGATTTTTAAAAAAGTAAATTATAGACATCATGACAAACCTTCCTTAAATATTTCAGCAAGTGTCTCTAAAAGGTAAGAACATTCTCCTGTGTAAACATAATACCATTTTATTAATCTTACTTTTTAAGGGACTATAGGGTCTTCCGAAGTCACCTTCAAAGAATTCTGTGATCTGGTTTATCTCGGGCCCTTACTGCTGTGCTATATATAATGAAAAAGAGGTAAGCACTAAGAAAGAGAAGCAGACATTCAGAGGAGTAAACCTAGGTTCTTTGAAAACAAATCATGACAAACAATTCCATTTTCGCTTCTGAGAGGATTCCTAATGTATCAAGAAACTGCCATGACCAGAGTGGTTGGAGGAAGACAAAT